TATACCATTGATAGGTTAAGTAATAATTGTAAATAAGAAGCAATAAGATGCTTATCTTAACATACTAAGAAGGTTAGGTGAGGTCGGTGTTTTCTATGAAGCTTTTCAAGGTAAACTAAAATATTCACAATCAATTAGTATGTCACATATGCACTTATTAAATAAGCCAATATTGACTATAAGCAAGTGCGAGAACGGGTTGCGGCAGCATATCGGTGAAACCTGCATTGAAAAGTGTTTATTCTTTTCACTGTTTTGACATTAATTTTCAATGTACGTATTTCATTTTTGTACCAATGTGTTCGCAATAGAATGTTCTAGAAGAACATAAGTATAAAACGTCACATAAGGATGCATTAGACCGGCAACAAATAAAAAACTACGTCGATTATACTCCTCGTGTCAATAATACAATTGTTTAACCACGATGATGTAATGTCATGCCGTTCTCCCAAATAAGCTCTTCGGCTATTAGAAAAAACGTACATATCATGGCAAACATTTGTAAACTATCCCCAAGTAGCTCGGATAGAAAATGGAATTTATTCAAATATTTTTTCTCGAGACTCCAGACGGAGTCCCTTTGGCGGACACGAGAGAAAACTTGGTAACAATGTCTGGCGCCACCGCTGCGATAAAGTGATACTTATTAAGTTAATAAGAATGCATAATTATTGAAGGATGTTAAATAACTATTAAGTTGAGAATAATTAAGTTAAGAATGCCTAATGTTGTTGACAATATATATATATATATATATATATATATATATATATATATATATATATATATATATATATATATATATATATATATATATATATATATGTCGTACCTAGTAGCCAGAACGCACTTGTCAGCCTACTATGCAAGGCCCGATTTGCCTAATAAGCCAAGTTTTCATGAATTAATGTTCTTTTCGACTACCTAACCTACCTAACCTAACCTAACCTAACTTTTTCGGCTACCTTGCCTAACCTAACCTATAAAGATAGGTTAGGTTAGGTTAGGTAGGGATGGTTAGGTTCGGTCATATATCTACGTTAATTTTAACTCCAATAAAAAAAAATGACCTCATACATAATGAAATGGGTAGCTTTATCATTTCATAAGAAAAAAATTAGAGAAAATATAATAATTCAGGAAAACTTGGCTTATTAGGCAAATCGGGCCTTGCATAGTAGACTGAGAAGTGCGTTCTGGCTACTAGGTACGACATATATATATATATATATATATATATATATATATATATATATATATATATATATATATATATATATATATGTCGTACCTAGTAGCCAGAACGCACTTTTCAGTCTACTATGCATGGCCCGATTTGCCTAATAAGCCAAGTTTTCCTGAATTAATATATTTTCTCCAATTTTTTTCTTATGAAATGATAAAGTTACCCATTTCATTATGCATGAGGTCAATTTCTTTTTATTGGAGTTAAAATTAACGTAGATATATGACCGAACCTAACCAACCCTACCTAACCTAACCTAACCTATCTTTATAGGTTAGGTTAGGTTAGGTAGCCGAAAAAGTTAGGTTAGGTTAGGTTAGGTAGGTTAGGTTGTCGAAAAACAATTAATTCATGAAAACTTGGCTTATTAGGCAAATCGGGCCTTGCATAGTAGGCTGAGAAGTGCGTTCTGGCTACTAGGTACGACATATATATATATATATATATATATATATATATATATATATATATATATATATATATATATATATATATATATATATGTCGTACCTAGTAGCCAGAACGCACTTCTCAGCCTACTATGCAAGGCCCAATTTGCCTAATAAGCCAAGTTTTCATGAATTAATGTTCTTTCGACAACCTAACCTAACCTAACCTAACCTAACTTTTTCGGCTACTTAACCTAACCTAACCTATAAAGATAGGTTAGGTTAGGTTAGGTAGGGTTGGTTAGGTTCGGTCATATATATCTACGTTAATTTTAACTCCAATAAAAAAAAATGATCTCATACATAATGAAATGGGTAGCTTTATCATTTCATAAGAAAAAAATTAGAGAAAATATATTAATTCAGGAAAACTTGGCTTATTAGGCAAATCGGGCCTTGCATATTAGGCTGAGAAGTGCGTTCTGGCTACTAGGTACGACATATATATATATATATATATATATATATATATATATATATATATATATATATATATATATATATATATATGTCGTACCTAATAGCCAGAATGCACTTCTCAGCCTACTATGCAAGGCCCAATTTGCCTAATAAGCCAAGTTTTCCTGAATTAATATATTTTCTATAATTTTTTTCTTATGAAATGATAAAGCTACCCATTTCATTATGTATGAGGTCAATTTTTTTTAATTGCAGTTAAAATTAACGTAGATATATGACTGAACCTAACCAACCCTACCTAACCTAACCTAACCTATATTTATAGGTTAGGTTAGGTTAGGTAGCCGAAAAAGTTAGGTTAGGTTAGGTAGGTTAGGTAGTCGAAAAATAATTAATTCATGAAAACTTGGCTTATTAGGCAAATTGGGCCTTGCATAGTAGGCTGAGAAGTGCGTTCTGGCTACTAGGTACGACATATATATATATATATATATATATATATATATATATATATGAGATAATTAAATATTATTTTTTTTAGCGAAGCGTAGCCTAGACAACTTTGAATGATTATTACCAGTGTCAGATATTTTGCAATACTGATAGAGATTAATTACTAACCCTCCTCTGTTTATGTAAACTGCATTCGAATGGTAAAGTAACCTTGTGTCGACTTAGTATAGTAACATTAGTCTCAATGATAGTCGAGAGTAACTGTTTGCTTTAAATTTAAACGTGGCTTGCTGAAGCAAGATATCATATCCATGGTACATCGTTCTTTAGTAAATATTTTAAAATTTTTAAAACGCCGTGTTTCCGTTAGCCTTCATTCCGATTTATGCCATGTTTGGCTTATTTGTGAAAAACCTAGTATTGAGATATTAGCCACTGAGTAAGGAAAGAAAAACTTGAATTCGAGGAGCCGAGCTTCATACTCTAGAGAGCTACTGTGGAATGCGGGGAGATGATATCTTTTCCTTCGGCAATGGGCGTAGGCGAGAGCCCCTATAATTACTGAAGCAAAAGGGTGACCAAGTGACCAAGACTGGCACACATACACCTTGACACCTATCTCCCACCCCTTTGAGGACAGAGTGCGAACCTACCGCGTCCTCTGGGGAGTTGCTGAGGTCCCTGTGTTTTGACTGGTACACATGGGGGTTAAGTGCTGACTTCAATACGAGGGTAGCGGAGTGCAAAGAATAGATAAGGATACTTCGGAGTTCAGTGATGGAGTGTCACCTGTGTGTCTCAACAAGATACTCTTCCTCTTCTGTACCTGTAACAATATCTACCAACATATCCATCCATCTATCCATTCATTCATCTATCTGTCTATCTATATATATCAATCTATCCATACCTCTATCTTTCTATCTATCTATCTATCTATCTATCTATCTATATGTCCATCTGTCCATACCTCTATCTTTCTATCTATCCACTTACTTATCTTTCTATCCAGATATATCCATCTACTCATCTTTCTATCCATCCATATAGCCACCTCCTCATCTTTTTATCAATCAAAATATATACCTACTCATCTTTCCATCTATTAATCCGTCTATCCATCCATCAATCTATCCACGAGTTCATCCATCTATCCACCCACCTTTCAACTGTCTGTCCCTGTTTCTGTCTCTGCCGCTCTCTGTATTATGTACTAAATGTATTAAGGTTATCCATTGTACAATTAATAGAACTACTGTCTCTTATTCCTGGGGTCGGTGGTTCGAATCTCCTTGTGCCAAGGTGAAATAAAAATTTATTATCCACGGTAGTGTGGTTGACACGGTATGACGTTAGTGTGGATTGCTAATTAATATGTGCTTTAGTGACAGCCAGGGAAGGCTTGCTTCCGGAATCCTTCCTTAATAAAGCTGTTCATAATACTCTTGATTAAGCTACTGTCTCACACTCCTCGGGTCAGTGGTTCGAGTCTGCTAGTTATATATATATATATATATATATATATATATATATATATATATATATATATATATATATATATATATATATATATATATAGTATATATATATATATATATATATATATATATATATATATATATATATATATATATATATACTCTCACTTATAATGAATCCTTTTGGGATACTAGTAGGAAATATTGTTTAGTTACTCATTTGTTTTATTTAAATTAAAATCATCTGCATATGCATAAGAAGAGTGCCTATGCATATCTATTTCGATGTTTTCTTTCCTTTTTTCCGAAGTTGTGATGTGTAAATTAATGATAGAGATTCTTCTTTGATATTACCATTGATCATACTTGTCACGTTCCACCAGATGCTGGACAGAAAGCTTCCTGGACCACCAACTATTACCATCTCTTGCAGAAAATACTTGCATTACAAAACTGCAATACATTCGCTGGGAAGTAAGGACCGCTGGTAAGTTACAAAGCCTCTTAACAAATGATCGCTCTCAGTGAACAAACCAGCGGGACAATAATACTTACAGCTCAGTATTGCTTTTTTAACTTCATATTGTTTACCAACCAATTTACATCTGGAAGTTCAGAAAATGTAATTAGTTGTCCGATATTGAAACCACTGTAACTAAAATTTTTTAAAATACTTTTTTCTTCATGTAGATTTTGTTGTAAACAAATTGGTACTTATTATATTAGCATCCCACTTCACTGCACTCTTCAATAATTTGCACAAACGATACCTTATTTTATGCCGGCGGGAAACTGTACTCGAGTAGTTTAGTCAGTTACGAATCTGTTTGTAAGCAGCATTGTATTTTAATGTTTTTATGTCCCATAAAGAAGTAATTACAAGGTAATAAGCACAGACAACAATACACAATATTTTAAGCACATACAATTAGAAGTTTTGTTAGATTATAGTTACGTTTCCTTTGTTGATACTATCCATTGCTCAGTAGAGTTTGTTAAGGGCAATTCCTCTACAAACTGTACTGCGTAATTTGGGTATTCCACAGAGTATCCTTCGAGATACTGTGGCTGATATCCTAATTGCGACTTTATAGGATACTGAGGATGATATCCTACTTGGGGATGCATTGGATACTGAGGATAATATCCTACTTGGGGTTGCATAGGATACCGAGTCGAATATCCTACGTGTGGATGTACAGGATACTGAGGCTGATATCCAATTTGCGATCTCATAGGATACTGAATCTGATATCCTGTTTGTGGTCCTAGAGGATACTGTGGCTGATATCCTATTTGTGGTCTTAGAGGATACTGAGGCTGATATCCTATTTGGGGTCTTAGAGGATAATGCGGCTGATATCCTATTTGAGGACGTACAGGATACTGATGTGGGTACTTACTTTGATAAAACGCTGTAAATTCTTCTTTGAATATCTGAGTGTATTCCTCTTGGAATACTTCCATATATTCTTCGGGATACTTTACTTGGTGTGTTTTTGGGAGTTTACCTTCATAATCTATGGGATACTGCTCTGTGTAGTTTCCAACAGCAGTTTCCCCGTGAAATTTTAAGGAAATTTCTTCAGGATATTTATTAGCATTTTCACTAAAATAATCATGTACACTTTCCGCTTGATTTTCTTGTGCATTTTCTTGGTGGTATTTCTCCTCGCTTTCTCCTCGAACTTCAACCGTGTTCTCTCCATGATATTCATCTGCACTTTCTTCACGATGTTCATCTGCACTTTCTACGGGATATTCATCCACACTTTTTGCATAATATTCATCACTACTCTCCCCATGATACTCAACCTCGCTTTCTTTATAATATTCGTCTGCACTATCCCAATAGTATTCATCTGCACTTTCCTCACGATACTCATCAGCACTTTCTCCATGGTATTCATCGGTACTGTCTAAATGATATTCCTGAGCACAATCTCCTTGATATTCATCAACACTTTCTCCGTAATACTCTTCTCCACTTTTGCCGGGAAGTACTTCAGCTCTTCCTCCAAAATATTTCCCACCGGACTCCTTAAGGTACCCTACAGGAACATCCTGTAAAATATCATCAGTATTTTCATCCAGTTCATAGATAACGTACAGGACGCTTGGGTCTCTCCGTCCCTACGTCGGCTGATCTTGTGTCTCGTCCACAATGACTGGAGTAACGGTTGGGGTCTCCAGGCGTGGTGAATGCAACTCCCTGGGCAGGTGAGGACTTTCGAGGCGCGGTGAGTGCAGCTCGCGCGGCAAGTGAGGGCTCTCGTGGCGTGGGGAGTGCAACTCGCGTGTGACGTGTGGTCGGTGCTCGTGGGGAGCGTGAAGGGAGGCGGAGTGCGTGCGGACGTGCGGGTGGTCGAAAGCGTGGTCGTGGTGCTGGTACTGCGGGCGGTCGTGGCGGAAGGAGTGCCGGTGACGGGGCATGTAGCGTGTGTTGCGAGCGCTGGCAGGAAGGGAGTACTGCTTGCTGAGGGCACCACGGGACACTGACATTGACCTCGAAGGCGACAAACTGCTGCAACAAAACAACATTGATGAATACCATCAACAAACATGGTCCAAGAAGTGCGTTCAGGCTACTAGGTACGACATATGTATATATATATATATATATATATATATATATATATATATATATATATATATATATATATATATATATATATATATATATATATATGTGACAGTGTCAGACCACGGAGGAAAATTGAAACAGTAATTGAAAAAAAAATAATATATATATATATATATATATATATATATATATATATATATATATATATATATATATATATATATATATATATATATATATATATATATATATATATATATAATAACCAAATGGATTTGATCAATGAGATATATACAAAACTTCTAACCTGACGGTTTTCGTTTCCATTTGTTGGTTTTCAATAGAGTTAGGAAGAGAGGTTTTCCGATCAACCTTCTCCCTTTGGATACCAAGTGCGTCTTCGGCGCCACCACTTCCACGTGGTACGACCAAATGCATCCTTCTGCTGCCTCGATCAGTCACCGGGTACCCCTGGCTCACCGGGTACCCGTAGTACCCGCCTGCATACGACACCTGCTGGCGCAAGGAATGTTATATTACTGAAAGTAATTGTATCAATTTGTAATGAAATTTACATTATATTTTGTTTTGAGTTAATACCAATACTGCTCGAGTCGAGTATTGTAAGAATGAATTGCTGCACGAGTAATGGAACACCGATGGTCGTACAGTTGCAATTCTCAGTATTACTGTAGAAAATATGCTGCTCAAGTAATAGAACAAAATATGATTAAAATCTGCAGTTTAATAATATTAAAATCTGCTGTTTAATAATATTAAAATCTGCAGTTTAATAATATTAAAATCTGCAGTTTAATAATATTAAAATCTGCAGTTTAATAATATTAAAATCTGCAGTTTAATAATATTAAAATCTGCAGTTTAATAGTATTAAAATCTGCAGTTTAAATTATACTACGGTAATTACCTAACAATCACGCCTGCACTACTCGTATTAACCACACACACATTTTGATTGACTCACACTGTATCTTCCTTGATTGGTCAGAAACCTGTCGACACAATCCCCTCTCAACGAACTCCAACTTAAACTAAAAAATCTGGCTAGTGAATCTTGATGAGAAGCACTTAACAAGAAAGAGGCCAAGAGCTAGAGTGAGTGTAGAGAGACAATGTGAGGCGTTCCACAAATGTCGATACTGGGTCCCATCGTCTCTACACACTATGCAAATGATCTAACAGAGGATTCGAGCTCATTCATATCAATATTTTCTGATGTGGAAAACTAATTGGCGATTCAGATCAAAGGATATCTCTGACATATTTCAAATGAAAATAACCAGTTTCCAGAGGTCATTTGAACAAATTATACTAGCCTTAGTTAACGTAGACAAATGTAAAGTTATGGGGATAGCGGGAAATAGTGAAAAACCCTAAATACTTCCCAGAATTAAAGCAATGGAACTTTTTACGCTTAAAAAGGAAACGGTTGTTCATCCAATACCCAAGATCATTTCCTCTGTCACTTTGGGTTAGGCTAGGGACTTGTTACAGGTATCTTTAGAAGTTCGGCTTGTATTGGGATCTGGATGAAGTAAGGTGTAAAGTGTGTGGACAAAGTCAGGGACATACACTAGAGCATTACATCTTAGACTGTGATAAAATTGAACCATTTAGAGATAAATCTAAACTCACGCTGCATGAAATGGCAAAACATAATATTACTAAGGATAAATTACCTGAAATCCTTGTACTGTATCCGTGTTTCGCTAGCAGTGGATGAATGACATGAGATTAAGGAACAGTGTAGCATGAAAACTATCAATAATAAACAGCAGTTTTCCTATGACCCTGTAATACCTCCATTGTTAAAACAGGAATGTATTATCGAACAGGCCTAGCATTAATGTATAATGATTAATTATAAATGCATAGCTATTGAAATGGAGCAATCACTGTAACTAGGTGACATTATAATTATTATGTGTGCAAGATAGATGTAATTGTTAATGTAAAAATCTCCGTTGAGGTCTGATAAAGGCCTTTTGTGTCCTCTGTAATCCTTTATGTACCACTCACAGGATGCGTATGGGGTGTACAATAAACTAGCCGCCACTGGTGTCAACAATCCGTGCCTGTATTTGCTAGACTTACTCTCCTAATCACAGGCAAAATATTTCACATATATTTTTTGTTCATGATCAGGGGAAAACATTTTAACAATATTAGAAGGAAACAAATTTGGTTAAATTTTTTCCTTGAGCACTGGGGAGGTAGGGTTGGGGGGGTTGTCTGCTATTAATAGCTGCGCAGGGTAATGGTTAAAGCACAAATTGCTAAACTGAGTGGAAAATCTTGACTACTTGAAACTGTACCATGAGATTACCATACAGCAAAAGGCCAATAATTTCAAGAGGTCATGAATGATCGAAATGAAAAGGGAATGCCATTATTTACCAAATCATGCGGTGGCTAAACAATAATTAATTTCATACCCAAGTCTTATGCAGAAACTACATGATGTCTAACTGAAGTTTAGGGCAAACCAATTTGCCTATACAGCAAACATAAGCAAGGTTTTCCTTAGAGTAGACCTTCAGGAAGAAGACCGAAATTTTACCAAATTTTTAGGGATGGAGAACCCTTAAGATGAGAGCAGTCACATTGTAACCTATAAATTCGCATCAGTCTTCTTCAGGGCTACATCTTCTCCATTTCTGTTACAAACAACATTTGATACACATTTGAAAAATTCGTACAGCCTTTAGGTTGAAATTAGTCAGAATCAATATATAGATAATGTTAGGGGGATTGTTAACAGTGAAGCCAATCTGTTATAATTGTATGAAGAGGCAAATTTTGAACTCATAACAGCTTATATGCAAGTGCAATCATGGCTCTCCAATAGTGATGTTTCAAATAATCAAAAATAAAAAGATTATTTGATTATTTCGTACCTCAAAATTTAAAGGTATCGGGTGTTGGATGGAATATCAAAGCTATCTCTAACCATTAAGTCTGTGCCAGTAAACCCTTGTATAGTTGCAAAGAGAAACTTGCTGTCATAAATTAGCAAAGTGCTCGACACAGCAGGTCTGTTAGGTCCTAGGGCTATCAACGAGCACATGCTGGTACTAGAAGTTTGGATGATGAAGGCCAGTTGGGCTAATTCATTACCTCAAGAGCTACAAACAGCATGAAAAGAGTAGCCGAGGAACAGGCCTTAGTTGAACAGATAATCCTTTGGAGACAGGTAGCCGAGGAAAGTGTTGCAGTAACATTACATGTGCTTGTAGACACTGGCTTAATCTTACAGAGTGTGTGCTTGTTTTGGATGATATCCAGATAACATTTGTGTTCAGGTATCTTACCTGGATCTTACCTGGGGAGGGTTCTGAGAATTCTTCTATTCCCCAAGCCTGGCCTTGGGCCAGTCTTGACTGCATAATTGTAGGCCGTCTCTGTTTTTTAGCTCCAGTTATCTCTGTGATTCCCCCGGTCATAGTACCAATTGACTATGTGATTCACACTTGTCCTAATTGTCTCTGGCATTCACACTTGTCCTAATTGTCTATGCAATTCCCACTTTCCTGGTCACAGATGCCTATGCAATTTATATTCACCTGATCTTAATTGTCTATGCAATTCCTACTCACCTGGTTACCGTATTTGTAGCTTGGGTTGCAGGAACTGTTGGAGTCGAGACTGAGGTCGGAGGTAGAGAGACCAAAATTGCCGTTTTCAGGCTCCACGGTGAGTCGCTGGGGTGTTGGGTGGTGGGGAGCCCGTGGGTGATGACCCATGGATAGGCGACGGTGGTGAGGACGGGGGGAGACGTGAACTATGGAGTCACCTTCCACCACTGCCACTCCCTCCTCCGGGGTGTTTCTGGGCCGGACTCTCTCGCTCTTGCTACGCTTAAGGTACACTAAAGATAGGAGAGACAATCATGTCAGAGTGCCAACTCAAATGCTTATATTACCGCTGCAACCAAAATCAGAATGAACTGAATTCGCGAAAACTATTTATTATCCTGATGCGATAATATATTTTCCAAGTAAAAAAAGTCGAACAGATTCATAAATCCAGCATTCGGTTACATTTATATAACCCAAAATAAAATGAATTGCTTTAATCGATAAATTTGTTACTATCTATTCATAACGTGAGCGGCGGTCGCTTCTCATTGATTGAGTAGTCACATCGCCTGAATTTGACCTATTTATATGTAATAATGATTGTCTTTTCCAGTGTGAATTAGTTGTATTTGTGAAATCAAGTGATCTATATTTTTGTACTTTGATATACCCAAGCTCAAAACGTCATTGATATGAATATTCTCGTTTTCATTATGGACGAGGCTTTCGTGTTCTTAGTGTACTTAATAATATATATATATATATATATATATATATATATATATATATATATATATATATATATATATATATATATATATATATATATATATATATATGATTTTTAAATGACTCATTTAATTTTTTTAATTTTTTAATTTCTGATCGACTCATCTGAGTCAGCCTTGTCACCATTAGTTAGGGAGCAGGCTGAGGAGGCAGACGACAGGTGGTAGGTAGAGGTGACAGACGCCAGTTGACAGGTAGATTTGGCAGGTGGTAGGTAGAGGTGGCAGATGACAGGTGGTAGACGAAAGGTTGTAGGTATAAGTGATGGACTTTAGGTGGTAGATACAGGTGGTATATGAAATATTGTAGACGACAGGCCGCAGACGACAGGTGGGTAGGTAGATGTGACATATGACAAGGTGACGCCAGGTGATGCCAGGTGACGCCAGGTGATGCCAGGTGACAGGTAGATATGGCAGGCTAGAGATGGTGAGGCTGTTTCTTAAAGACTGGGTTACGTGGATGCCTCTGAACGGGAGTCTCTTTTAATGGACAAATTCATTAATTAAATTTATATATCGGACATTATGGTCTCATAAGGTTTGAGCAATGATCGTTGTAACCTAATTAAACTTAGGGCGGTGCGAACACGTTTGTACAGATTGCGAAATTAATTTATTACTAATTTTCTATTTTCTTATTAGAACTAGCTGTATCAATTACATATTCTTACTTTATTATTATTACTACAATTATTTATTATTAACATCATTCTAATCATTTATATTATTATTACTATGGTGGTAAAACTTGAGCACAGTTTATGTTTCTGAACAATTGGCTCATTTGTACTTGAAAAGTGTTATTATATTAACATTATATTATATAATTATATTACATTAAAATAAATAATTTAATCGATGGTTATCGGAGCAATTGAGCCCCTAACCGCAACCCGTCCTCATCAACAAAAGCGAAAGGTGCGTTAATCCAGCCGCCAAACTCACCTGTTTATGAATGAAAAAACACTTTGCACATGACTCGTAACTGATGGCATGCAACCCGTCCTCTGACCAGGCTCGTTAGAGCGGCGGCTGTCTCCCAAGACACAATCATCAATTTTAACGCACTGTTTACTAAAAATTGGTTTACTCTTATTTATATATTAATATTACTATATATATATTAAAGTTCTATGTATAGTTAACGTAGGTTAGATATTTCGTTGGTTAGATATTTAGATATCTATATATCTAAATATCTAACGTTGGTTAGATATTTAGATATCTATATATCTAAATATCTAACGTTGGTTAGATATTTCGGTTCTGTTGGAAATTATTTGTATTTGCAGTATGTGGGTGAAGCATTTATTGAGCGTTGCGATTCAGACAGAGGTCGTCAGCGAAGCACTGTTCGGAAAAGGCCCGAATGCCATCAGTCGTTTTGTTTGTAAACCGTTTTTAATTTATAAACGTGGAGTTTGGCGGCTGGTTTAAGGAGCATTTGTCCTTAGTTGATGTGGCAGGGTTTTGACGTATATATATTCTCCTCATGAATAGTTCATCGTTCACCTCTTCTGTTCAAAACGCACGTCTCTAAACGCTTCATCCACGTCCTGTAAATCCAACAGCACCTAACTACCTAACCTAACCTACGTTAGCCCTAACTATTCAACTTATTTTAATACGCAAAATGTTAAATTATAATTGAGAAATTAAAAATTTTGAATACGCAGCTCGTTACTATTGAAGACATCGTCTTTGGGCATAACCGAGGCTTGGACGAGACCAAACTTGAGGACAGGTTGCTAAGGAACATATGCGCTGTAATGACTTCAAAGACTACTGACCAGGGGGCCAGATTCACGAAGCAATTACGCTAGCACTTACGAGCCTGTACATCTTTTCTCAATCTTTGGCGGCTTTGTTTACAATTATTAAACAGTTAATGAGCTCTAAAGCAGCAGGAGGCTGTTTATAACAATAATAACAGTTGATTGGGAAGTTTTCATGCGTGTAAACTGTTTAATAAATGTAACCAAAGCCGTCAAAGATTGAGGAAAGATGTACAGATTCGTAAGTACTTGCCTAACTGCTTCGTGAATCTGGCCCCAGAACCCGATTAAAATGAATACTGACTTTACATAACAATTATTAGATATTATGTTCGTGTCATTCTTGTGGAATACACAATAACTTCTATGGAAACACACTCTAAAAATATGTCAAACAAATTCTAATTAATCGTATCATTCCACATTCAGTTGTTGAAACACAAAATTGTCTGTCTAACGTATAGAACTGCAAACTCTACACAGGCTAGTTGGCCACCTAATAAAGACGAACGATGGACACGTAATACATTTAGTGGGACGCTTGACCAATTACACCTTAAATTTATTCCAAATTAACAACCAAAAATTGAAGATGTATCTAAATATAAGGTTGACTAAAGACACCAAGAACATAATAGCAGTGAGGACGTGTGTGAGAAGACATGTAAGGCACTGCATGAGACGATTCACGGAGCCATCAAACTACGGGGAAGGAACCACATATGTTGGAAGACCTCAAAACTCACGAGAGGCAAAAAAATCTCTTCGTTCAAAATAAGTTACATCAAAAAATTCATTAGGCCTTCCATGGTACTCTACAAAAAATGAATATATCAAAGATGTAAGGAAAGGTGAATGTGCTTGGATCTTCTTAGATATACAGAGATTAAAAAATACGTAAGGATGATGGAGGACAAAATTCCGGGATACACGATGTTAAAATCTTGAAGGACAAGAGCGTCAACATCCAGGGGCTACTGTCCCCCACCTCTGACGTCAGGTCTTGACGCACATAGCTAGAATGACCTATGCAGCAGGTTCCCATTGTAAATATTGGTAATAATATATAATATATGTGTGGGTGTGTTTACTCACCTAATTGTGCTTGCGGGGGGTTGAGCTTTGGCTCTTTGGCCCGTCTTTCAACTGTCAATCAACTGGTATACAGATTCCTGAGCCTATTGGGCTCTATCATATCTACATTTGAAACTGTGAATGGAGTCAGCCTCCACCATATCACTTCCTAGGGCATTCCATTTATTAACTACTCTGACACTGAAAAAATTCTTTCTAACGTCTCTGTGGCTCATCTGGGTACTAAGTTTCCACCTGTGTCTCCTTGTTCGTGTCCCACACACACACACAATGTGTGTGTGTGTGTGTGTGTGTGTGTGTGTGTGTGTGTGTGTGTGTGTGTGTGTGTGTGTGTGTGTGTGTGTGAGTGTGTGCGTGAAAATCACAAAGAAATTAACACGTGTGGAACAATGGACCGTGTCAGACCACGAAAGAAGGATTAAGACAGGAATTTCCTTAAACAGTTCCTAAAGTAATTAAGAAGGAAATTTCTATCTTAATCCTGAATCCTATAATCCTATCTTAATCCTTAGGGCGCCTGACAGCTGAGTGGACAGCGCTTCGGATTCACAGGCCTGAGGTTCCGGGTTCGATCCCCGGTGGAGGCGGAGACAAATGGGCAAAATATTTCTTTCACCCTGATGCTGCTGTTACCTAGCAATAAATAGGTACAAGGGAGTTAGCAAGCTGCTACGGGCTGCTTCCTGAGGGTGTGTAACAAAAAGGAGGCCTGGTCGAGGACCGGGCCGCGGGGACGCTAAGCCCCGAAATCATCTCAAGATAACAAGATAACCTAAAATATATATATATATATATATATATATATATATATATATATATATATATATATATATATATATATATATATATATATATATATTTATTTTACCTAGAAGGGGTACCTATATATATATCTGTATTATATTTGGCAACAAACTCTTTGTTAAAAGTAATCGTTTAAATAATATATGTGACGAAATATTTACAATAGGGACTAGGCACATAGGTCATTTCTGGTCGCAGAGGTTTAGAGCAGTAGCAGTGCAGGCTCACCTGTTATTACTCCTTTCTGAAGTAGGGAGTTAACTGAAATATATGCATAAAAATGGAAAGTACAATATGACGGCTTTTAAAATGGGGAAAAAAATGCAATAAATGGCATCAAATTTAAAAAAAAATACCTATATATTTTAAGCCTAATATATAATGATAATTCCAAATAAAACGAAAATATGAGCAATAAATAATTTACACATAATTCATAACGTGGTAAATTGTTAATTTATGAACACACACGCACACACACACACATACACGCACACACACACAAACATGCACACACACACACACATACACTCGCGTGTATGTGTGTGTTAAACACAAGAAAATTAACAATAATCACAATGCTGTTGTTAATTTTCTTAATTATATTTTCCAATCTGCGCAAATATCTTCTACCATCTGGAGGGTGAAGAAACAATCAATCACTTAATCGTTCCATATTAGTGTTCGACGTTTCGTCAGCAATGTGGCATCTTCAGGAATACAGGAAGGAACACTGAGCTTGCAAGATTGATTGATTGATGAAGATTAAGCCATGGAGGCTTAATTAATGGCGGACCATTGAACAGCCATATGCTCGAACTCGAATTCATCTGGATGTTGAGTACTGGTGTCAGCTCTCGAACAAACACAGCCTCAAGCATACGAAATCACTTACGGTCGTTGGTGCGTGTCATTATTGTCATATTTTTCACTGTGCCTTGGCGATTCACGATGGTGTTGTGTTGAGAATGATGTTGGTTAATACCTCACTCTTGCAAATGAAGATTAAGACGTCTACTCAGTGTATTCTTGGTATGTCCAATGTTGCATATATTTCTGAGCGCACAGTCTCCAGAGCTTGATGCGCTACATTAGTACATTTTTATTGATACACAACATTAGTACACCTCAGTTTGTCAGAGGAGGCAGAGATGTTATTTCTCATAATGAGGAGAGCTGTACAAGGGTTGATTTTCATCCTTCTTATATGCCTGAGTAAAAATTTTTTTTTGTACACTATAATGTCTTCCCATGAGGGCCGATTTTCCACCTCTGAGGCCTGATTATCCTCAGTCAGATTGCTGCCTAGTTTCATACTTATGATTTCGTCGTATTCTGTATTGTTCTAATCGATGTTCACAATAATTTGGCGGATTTGTTCAAGTTCGTGTTGCAAGAACAGCCAAGAAGAGCATGTACCTATATATATGCATTGATGATGCTTCTTTTATGCTTGTTCGTGCATTCACTCTTACCTTTCTCGAACTTCATCTTGCTTGATAAAATAAGGACTGCTGGCTGGTGTCGCATATTCCAAGATTGGGCTGACATGCTATGTATAGAGTACTGAATAGTGCCTTACTCAGATTTCTAACGGAAGTTCTTATACTGTATGTATGTTTTTCTGAATATGTACGTATGGTAACTTAACTTTTTATAGTTGAATTTGATAAAAAATGCTTTCATATGGGTTTTATATGCCATTTAATTTAACTCTGTAAACTGAATAGCATTCGTTGCCCTCTTCGTAGGAAAGACAACGTCCCTGCATTACGTTAGCACTATAGGAGGTACATACATCCTTGGCGCAGTCAATCCTCCTAAAGATGAAAGTACTTACATTTGATTCAAAAGAACCAATATGTTGTGATGGATCACCAGAAAGTTATCTTTCGAATTATTAAATTTGGAAAAATCCAGAAACTTTTTAACAACATATATATGACCTAATCTAACCGAGCCTAACCCCTCCATCAACCCGAGGCCTCATACACGGTATCTTTGGCTTAATACATATATATATTTGCTATACTAGGCCTAGGAATATTTAAGTTTGGTTTCAGCTTCATTTTTTCCGGACTCTGCAAAAATAATGGTACAAAAAGTGCTTTACTGGAGGTTCATATATCATATTGGTACTTTCGACCAAATAGTTACTATAAGTACTGTCATTTCAGGAGGATGGGTTACTTGGATGCAGTGAAATCTAAGAACAATATTTATGTTGCTAGAAACATTAATCGTGTATATTATTAATTTATTTCCGGCTTGTTGACATGTAGTCAGGTCCGTTCTTCAAACTCATACAGTTGCTTAAAACGTCAAATTTAAATGAAGATTTTTCGGCTTAATAATAAATAATTGTTAAGCAAACTTGATTTAGTTCCCAATTGGGATTGAAAATTTTATATACTGTTAAACTAAAAAATAATTACAAAGCTCTATTAAAATATATGAAAATACTATAACAGAATACCTGGAAGCATTCACAAAATAAAACATGAAAGGCACAATGCCAGACTATAGAGACTGAGTAAACATAACCGTCATTTCTCAGGATGTTTTTGAGCGTCAATGGAATACTTTATATTCATATAAATACTGCTGGAAGCTTTTAACCACCTGACAATGGACGGCATTGATACAATTAACTGATTATACTGAGGAAGCTACTTACTGCCGATTTCACCAGTCCCTGGTAGGTGCAAGGTCTTCAGCATGTCTCCTCCTATAGTGGCGATTCGTGGCTCTACCTGTGCCTGGGTGAATATAAACATTTGATATATATATATATATATATATATATATATATATATATATATATATATATATATATATATATATATATATATATATATATATATATATATATAGCCTTCTAAAATTTTATCATATGAAATGATAACGCTTTCCATTAAATTCAATATATGATTTATTTTGTTTAATTTAAGTTAAAACTAACGTAGAAATATGAATATGACCAAACCTAACTTACCCTACCTAACCTAACTTAACCTATCGTAAACTAACCTAAACTAACATAACTAAATCAGCAATTCATGTTCTTGACATAATATAATAAGATTAATTCAAATAAACCAATTGGAGAGAGAGCGAGAGAAAGAGAGAGAGAGAGAGAGAGAGAGAGAGAGAGAGAGAGAGAGAGAGAGAGAGAGAGAGAGAGAGAGAGAGAGAGAGAGAGAGAGAGAGAGAGAGAGAGAGAGAGAGAGAGAGAGAGAGAGAGAGAGAGAGAGAGAGAGAGAGAGAGAGAGAGAGAGAGAGAGAGAGAGAGAGAGAGAGAGAGAGAGAGAGAGAGAGAGAGAGAGAGAGAGAGAGAGAGAGAGAGAGAGAGAGAGAGAGAGAGAGAGAGAGAGAGAGAGAGAGAGAGAGAGAGAGAGAGAGAGAGAGAGAGAGAGAGAGAGAGAGAGAGAGAGAGAGAGAGAAGCAGGCAGATAGAGAGATTGATATACTAAAACAAAATTAACTTCAAGTGAATATAGATAGACACAACTGAAAGCAACATCATCGTGCACATTTTCCTTTTTTCCTTTTCCGAAAAAACTAGAAAACTGGTGCAAAGTAATATTCCAATGTGTATTTTCATTTTGCTTTGAGAAACAATGGAATAACTTACTTCGGTCAAATGATGGGTCTTTCCGTTCTCAGCTATAGAGGGAGTCTCTGAGATATTAGGAGCACCTTCCACCTCCACCACCAGGTTATGGTTCTTCATGGATACTGACACTTTCGATGTCACTTCACTGGGTTCATCTTGCACTTCTCCTACGACTATTTGCTCCACTTGATCCTCGCCCTCCTCCTCCACTGGCCCTTCCGAGGGAGAGGTTATCACGCTATCCTGTAACATCAATGTTCTCATGGAGAGAGAGCAGCTTCAGGAAAATGAATTGCCTTCATGTCTTAGGGATTATGATGCTGAGCGTTTGATGGCCAGGTATATGATACATATTATGTTCAATAGTGTAACCTTAAATATATCCATATTTCAAACTCAAGCCCATTCCAAGAATGCTTTGAAAACTCAAAGAAAATAATTACTACATAATCTGTTTAACACATATGAATTAATATTCTTAAAAAATATAAAATATTCTTTAACAAAAATACAATAGAAACATGAAAGGGGTAACACGACAGATATTATTCTATACTTTATTGCCGGTGTGTAGAAGGGAGATTTATATAACAGCATCAAAGACCCATATTTAACAGTTTAGATCCATGTAGAGCAGGGTCAAATTAGCGTGTACTTTTTATAGGCAGTTTTCAGTGTGACGGAGTGATAATAAAGATCAAAAATTAAGGTAAGGGGGTTTAAACATAAGCAGTTTACTTTTATATGAGCAGGGGAACATGTTTGTGAGAACAGAGCGCTGATATATTGTATCAGAAGAGAGGCAACCACTTGTCTCGTACTCTGCCCTCCAGTAAGTACTGAAAGGACTCACGTAAAAAAACCAGTTACCAGGTCATAATACTGTACTGTGTCTATAATAATGAAATCACAGGAAGGAAACATTATTATTATATATAATAATTTGATATAAATCTTTCATGTCATGCAAAATTATGATTATAAATGATGTTCCGTAACTATGGTCTATAAAGATCATCTGTTGCTTTGTATGTGTGTTCCAACCTTAAAAGCTTTCTGCTTTATGCTAATCTGCATACTCGAGACACAGGAGGAAGTCTCACCATTCTTTTTTTCACTTCTTACCATAGAGATCTTGATGAGAACATAAATTGCTAGGTAATTTCAAAACATAATTTTAGCTTATAGGAAAAGGGAGAAGAAACTACTGTTATTCTATCGATGATTTTTTCAGCGTAAAGAACACTGTAGGAAACAAGTGTAAGAGGCCGAGACATGAAATACAACGACCAACAGAAACTCGCTCTAAATAAAGGGGGCACCGCCCCAAGGAAAAAAATATTGTGTTTTTAAGATACAAATATTTAACAGCAGAAGATGGCCTGCAGCTGGTAAGGACCTGTAGCTAGCCAGTGTGTGTAACTGACCAGGACCTGTAGCTAGCCAGTGTGTGTAACTGACCAGGACCTGTAGCAGGCTAGGATCTGCAACTGACCAGAGCCTGCAGCTGACCAGGGTGTGCAGTTGGCCAGGGCATTCAGCTGGGATGAACCTGTAGCTGGTTTGGACCAATAGCTGGTCAAGGTCTGGCGATTGCAAGAGCCTGCAGCTGGTTTTGTTAGAAGGAACAGTGGAATATATATAGGAAGTTTACTCCATACTGCTGGAGAGATGATTACTTCATCAAGCCATTTATTATGTTAAATATTTCAATATCAATGATAACAAAAAGTGAGGAAGCTGAAATCATGGTTAAATCAGGCCTGGAGACTTGCTCTTTCACTAACAGCCGTGTGCAAGAGGTTGGAGGATGTGATGGTCGAAGTCTCAACACCAATAGGAAATGACAATTGGTGTCCCAGTGATTGTTGGAAGTTACACTCGGTGTCTCCCTGCTCGATGGTTAGTTGATATCTGATTGCTCGGAGGCGACAGTTAATGTCTGAATGCTCGGAGTTGAGAGTCTATGCTTCAACGCTTCGGATAGGAAAGTTGATGTCGTAGAACTCAAAGATTATTGTTGATGTTTCAAGGCTCGGAAGTAACAATTGGTGTCATGGCGCTCGGAGGTGACACCTGATAACTCAACGATGGGAGGTGACAGCTGATGTCACAGCACTCAATGTGATTTTTAACGCAAAAAAATAATTAAATAACACTGCCAGCTGTTGAATGAGATGCCTATTGTTATTATCAATATATTTTGTGTAATGTAATTAGATTCCTTTCATGCGAGTGGGTTTAACTTCAGAATTCTGGTGTTTCACCTCTTGTAAATAAACTATCCACAATGTATAGCTTTCTTTGTTATAGTACAGTATATGTACTGTCTTTCGCTGTGCATAGTATTTAGCTTTTTCACTGTCTAAAAAATATAGCTCTTTCACGGTCCACAGTATATGGATCCCTCATGATCCGCAATATATGGCTCCGTCACGGTCATAAGTATATGATTCTCACAGTACATATTGCACTTTCACTGTTTACAGTATATGGTTCCCTAAAGGTCCCTACTATGTGGCTTGCCATATGATGTTTTAATAAATCTGGTTCGAGAAATAAAAGAAAGTTCAGACAAATCGTATTTGAGCAAATATAAAAGTATATAAAAGACTTCCAGGAGACTTCCTAACACGAATCACATATAACCTTGTTACAAATAAAGTTCCAGAACCGTGCAAGATAACTAGTTGCCTCAGTTCCCTATTATTACTACATTGCCCCCCTAAAAAACAGTACCTCTTGATAAAACATAAACCTATATTCAATAATACTATCAACCTTCACTTCCACGATGGAAATCTTTTACATAACAGCAACTCGAACAGACGTATCCCGCAAACGGAACAATAACAAACCATTTATCAGCAGTGATTATGAATCCTCTTTATCATTTCAGGCAGAGATAATCCTTGACAGCTGAATTTCATGCTCTATGCCAATCCCAAACAATAATAACCCCACTAAAGTTGTTGAATTCATAATTTACAATGACACGAATAGCCAAGCCATCACACACCGTTCGAAAAGATGCAAAGAGCTATTATACTGCTGCTTTAAATTTCTCCCCTAATACAACTGGAAAAGATAAGACATAGATGCAAGCACAATGTGGCATACTCCTAAGTGAATTTACTAGGAATTAGAATTAGTACAATATATGCTATAACATATCACACTTCAAACAATATAAATTATAACAAAAAAATTGCAGACAAATGGAAAACATTATATTTCCTAACATAATATGAGCTATGAAGAAAACCCGGGGAGCGTGGGAACACACAAAGCACATAAAGAGAGAAGATACAACAATGATCAGACTACTGATGGTACACACCGAACTAACAACGCTCAACTATAAATACAGGACAAAGAAACATCCAAATAGCATTCACTGCCACTTCTCAGAGGCAATAGATCATTATCTCCTAGACTGTTTCCCCACATTACAGTGCCAGAACAATCTTCAAACAGGCATCAATCATACTAAAGTGATATTCAACATTGAACACATATTAAGAGGCCTCCAACTAGGCACACAAACAAGTAGACAATATTGGGTAAATATCTCCAGTCCATCAAAAAAAAAAAAATTCACATCCGATCAACAAATTCACTTTAAATTACATCGATATCCACAACCATATAAAAACGTATATCTTGCAACAACAGCAACGGAATCAATCATCCGACGTTATCATATCTACAAGAAACAGCAATCAATATTTCTCTGACCGTCAACACTGACGTTCTACCTCGACGTGTCTTTACAAAAACATAGGAATATCGTCATATATGAGGAGTACAGAACACGAATATCGTTCACTGACAGTAGTAGAAGAATCGAAAATCGTTCGCTGATTACTATATTCACTATACTATACTATTATACTACACTGAGGGCAGAGCAGGAATATATTTGTTTAAGGGAGGTATAGCATTGAATATCACACACTACAAAACTCGATTTTCCGACAATGATGGTAGAATATGTACACAATTATCGTCCAATGAAGGTAGTACAGGGCACGAATATCGTCCTCTGACGTGATTACAGGACACGAATATCGTCCACTGACGTGAGTACAGGGCACGAATATCGTCCACCGACGTGAGTACAGGGCACGAATATCGTCCACTGACGGCGGTACAGGAAACCAGTATCGTCCAGGACACGAATATCACTAATGTCTGACAGCATTGTATGACACGAATATCACTCAAGAAGTACAGAATACGAATTTCGTTCATTAACGTCAGTACAGGACACGAATATTGCCCACCTCCGGCTGTGGAGGATAATAAAGTCGTTCATCTAACTACAGTGGTGTATTTCAAGACTGGTTTTATAATTTATTTTAATTCAATATTCGTTTAAGACACAATCCTTATCTCAAAATCCCACTTCCATATACATTATATATATACAAACAACCTATCAATACTTTTCAGATGACAGAATACAAAGTGAGGGTTATATTAGCCATATGCTTTGCAATATAGGTAGAAAACAATCCATTATACAGAAACCCAGGGTGAAAATTATACACTATCAAGAAAGACACAGAAATCCCATTAACCTGATAAATATCAATGTGAAAATCCACTAAGGCAATGAGGTGGGCGGGAACCTACGACTTATGCATTGCCAAGCCGCATACTCTACCACTAAACCACTGTGACTTGTTTATGTCTAAAGTCGTAGGTTCGTATTCACCTTATTGCTCTAGTAGACTTTCTCAGGATATACTATGATATATCATGGTAAGATAGAGAACTTGAGGACACATTTCAACGTTAAGATAATGAAAGACGCGACCACCTAAAACTTGTTTACACATTAATACTAAACCGTCGACCAAGTAAGGGAACATACACCTTAAACCTGACAGCCAGAGCAATAATAGTGATAGTAAGAAAAGGATTTCACAAGTATGGTTGGCCTACTGAGACATCATGAAAGTTATCAGTTTTAAATTAAAAGATGTTGTTGACTGACGTTGTCAAGGGATGACTGACAGTTGTCAAGAGGTGCCTGACAATTGTCAATATATGTTGGTGCTTGATAGCTGTCAATAGTGTTAGTGATTGACAGTTGTCAAGGAATGTCGGTGCTTGGCATTTGTCAAGGAATGTTGGTGCTTGACATTTGTTAAGGGATGTTGGTGCTTGACATTTGTCAAGAGATTTTGATGGTTTATAGCTCTCAAGGAAAGTTGGTGCTTGACAGTTGTCAAAGG